AGGTCCAGGGACGTGCCTCTGTCAGCTGCAACAGAAGCTGACATGAAGTCAGTTACCATATTTATCGTCAGGAAATCTGCTAACATCTTAATGGGCAAGTTCGAGAGAAAAGCATTCACGGAAAAGAGCAGAACGTGACATCATCCATTCATTCACCACCAGGACTTTGTGGCGTCCACTCCAAGGCCAGGCCTGCCGCGGGGAGGATGCAGCTCCAGAGCCAGTGGCTCTGCTCCCCAGGAGGAGGTACGGGGTCGCCTCGCAGGCCCACAGGGAACTGGACACCTTGCTGCTGGACACCTGCTGCCTCTACCTACAGAACCTCCCTGGCCACATGCTGCCCACTGGGCCAGGGGCATGAGAGGCACACACTTGGGGTGGAGACAGAAGTGGGCTGTTCCACAATTGCCTCAGCTGGCTTTTGTCTTTGCAGGATTAAAAATTCAAGTCCTTTCTTTCTCCTTTTGTTTAGAGCAAGGTAGCAAAGAGCACCTCTGTTTCCCAGCCACCACCGCATCAGTCTAGGACTGAGGATTCATCGAGGACACAACTGTCAGCTCAGCCACAGATTGATGGACAAGGACATTCACTGCAGGACTGTAAAGGTCACAAAACACTACACATGTCCTGACTCCTCCAGCAGGAAGCAACTGATCCGCGTCTGTCTGTCTGTCTATCTCTACCTTGGTCTGTGTATCTGGGAGGGAGTTTCCGAAGCACCAATCCAGGGACGGGTAATTTTTACTTCCATCCTGATCCTTTCTTCATTTGAATATTCTCTGTGAGTTTGTGTGTGTGTTTATAGTCAGAAGCATCTTAAAGCTGGGGCCTTTGCTCGTCCCATTCCTTTGTGCCATTTATTTCCACTTTTTTATGAGAAAGTTTTCAGCAGTGAGGCTGCACGTTCTTCTTCTGAATGCTCTCTCAGCCAGCTCCCAATTCTATTCCTTTTCTTTTTGTTAACAATTTGAGAGTCAAATTTGAAACTTAAGGACAGCATCTCAGTGGAGTCTAATTTGGGGATTTTGTGTTCTTCTCAAGAATTAATTTTCTATTTCTATATTTCTAGAAATGGAGTTTTGGGACGTCACTCCAGACCCTTGGTGTGCAGACTGCCAGGGGCGCAAACGAGGGTGGAGCTGCCTAGGTCAGGCAGGGGGAGGCCCTGGTGTGGCAGGTGACCCTGGCCTGGGTCCAGGCGATCGTCTCCACAGGGATATCCCCCAATCCCTCCTCTCCCTTGGGACAGGCAGCGTGGGAAGGGAAGGTAAGCCCACAGGCCTGGGGCTCGGGCAGCAAAGCTCTGGCCTTCAATGCCCCTCTGTGCCTTTGCTTTCGTCTTGTCTGTGGGTTTCCCCGGCCCTGCAGACGCACTGCTCCCCACCTCACCCCTGTACCTCCTCTCTTCCCCACACAGCCCAGCCTGTACCTGGCCTGCCGAACACCTGAACCCACAGCAAATGCCCTCTCTCCTAGGAGATGGTGAGCTCTGAAAACAACTTCCAGGAAATTGGATTGAAGGGTAAAGCTTCATCTTTCCTGAGAAAAATGAAACTTATATGGGGAGAGGGGTGAATGACTCTGGTTTCTAGGCCTCTTTGCACCCATGTCCAGACCCCCCTGAGCACCCCCAGAGCACCTCACCGCCAAGCACTGAGGCCCCCAGCCCCTGTGGGAGGGGGTAGGTGCCAGCACCGGAGTGGGAGAGACATCTGTGAGGCTGCCTGGGGGAGGGCGTCAGGAGTGCCAGACGTCGCTGGCCCGTACGTGCGTGGAGGAGTGGGTCCTTTCCTCTCTGTGACCCTGGATTCTTGAACTGAGCTTAGACCACACAGGCGGCAGCCCAGCAGGTTGAGGTCCAGCAAGTAACTCCATATGTTGGCCGGAGCTTTCCCATGGAAGCTCGCCTCCCGAGGTGCTTGTCCAGCTCAAATGTGCCTGAAACTACACTTTTATGCAAAAAATGGCGTGAAGCTATGCCGGGAATGGGTGGGCCACAGAAGGGCAGGTCTGAAGAGGACAGAGGCGCGTGGAGGGCAGGAATGGTGCTTCACAGTAGGTTTTCTGACGGCAGGAGGGAGCCGGCGAGGTCGGTGGAGGGGAGCTCCCAGAGGCGCCCCGCTTCTCATTTGGGATATTTGAAGCAGCCCGGCTCATCCTGTCTAGCAGCCCCCCCATCCTGTTTGGTTCCCCTTCATGGCACATCTGGCATCTTTGTCCGTGGAGGATCTGCTGCCCACGTGGCCACATCAGCCGAGTGCCTGGACAAGTCCCGCCCTGAGCAGAAGGGCCAGGGGAGGGGCTTCTCGGCCTGACAGGTGCGGGAGGAGCGGGAGACCTGATCTCAGACCCCCAGAACTGTGTGGAGTGGGGCATCCTGGAGACAGGAGTGAGTGGTTGTTTGGCCCGACAACCTGCGGGGCCAGTCCAGGCAACCGGGGCTCAGAAATGACCAGAAGGCGTCTACGTCCAGACAATCCATATCCACTAAAGGCAGATGCACTTTTTCCAGATGTTTTCAATGTTCTCCGCCCAACCCGGCCTCTGGAAGCCTAGGTCTCTTGCCCCTTTACAAATTCCCCCGGGGACCTCCTGCCCTTCCCCTGCCTCACATCCACGCAGCCCCGGTAATGGCCTGACCTGAGAGGGAGCCACCGCAGCCTGCCGTGCAGCATGTGTGGGCGTGCACATCTGTGTGGGGGTGCACCTGTGTGGGGGTGTCTGCTGTGTGGGGGTGTCTGCTGAGGGGGTGTCTGCTGTGGGGGGTGTGTACCTGTGTAGGGGGTGTCTGCGGTGGAGGTGTGTCTGCTGTGGGGGGGTGTCTACTGTGGGGAGGTGTGCACTTGTGTGGAGGTGTCTGCTCTGTGGGGGGTGTCTTTTGAGGGGGTGTCTGCAGTGGGAGTATGTCTGCTGTGGGGGCATCTGCTGTGGGGGTGTCTGCTGTGGGGGGTATCTGCTGTGTTGGGTGTCTGCAGTGGAGGCGTGTCTGCTGTGGGGGGGGTGCCTGCTTTGGGGGTGTTTGCTGGGGGGGTTGTCTGTTGTGGGGGGTGAGTGTGTACGGGGAGCACAGGTGGAGCGGCCTGGAGGCAGCACAGCCTTCAGTCCACAGGCGCCTTGGCAGGGCTGTGGAGGCTGCTCCTGACTCTCGTGGCCGGCCCACTCTGAGTGTAGGCCCGGCTGCAGGCGGCGGTGGCAGAAGAGAGACACAGACGGTCCCAGGGTTTAGGTTCTGGCATCTGTCTCCTCTTCTGGGCTCTCAGTTGAAGGCTGATGTGACACTGGGCTGTGTGGCCCAGCGAGGGTGACGCTGTGGGGCAGAGCTACCGCCAGCCCTGCTGACCCCCCAGGTGCTGAGGGCCAGTGTCTCTGATGTAAGCCCCTGCATGCTGGGTTTTTATGATAGCCCCATGACACCCAGCCAGCTCACAGTGGGGGCAAACCAGCCCCCGCATGTGCAGTGGCCACTGGGGCCCAGAGAGTAGGGTTTGCTGTTGGGGGTCCCAGGAGGAGGCAGGCCCATCTGCTGATGCTGCAGACCCAGTGGGGGCTTGACAGGCCTTACTGCACATCCAGGGCTATGTGGCTGCCGCCCTGAAGACCCATAGCCCTGGCTCAATGGTGCAGCACGGCAGCCAGGAGGAGGGACTCCCCTAGCTCTCTGGCTGCCTGAGCTCACCCTGAGAGTCAGCGAGCTTGTGGGACTCAGACTGCCCAGAGGGAGGCTGGTGGGCATGTGCTGCTGTTTGGAAGAACAAAGCACAGACAAGTTCAAAGAAATGCACCCAGGTGAGCGAGGGCTGGGTCTGCCCTCCGGGGCACAGGCTGCATGCGGACGGACAACAGACACGAGGGCCACCAAGACCTGTCCCTGGGGACCGCAGGCAAGCTGAGATGCGTTTGGCATGTATGCAGCCAGGGCGCAGGCTGGGGCCCATAGTGACTAGCTCCTCTCAGAGCACCCGGATCTAGACACTGCAGAAGGTTCGATGCAGCAGCCTCTGTGCAGTGAGCCTGCGCCTGGAGCGGGTGGGCTGTCTAACCAGCTGGAGCCAGTCCAGCCTCCCACGCCTGCTGATGTGCGCTGGCCGAGGCCCCGGGGGGGATGGCGCCCAGCACCCCCACTCAGTATGCAGCCAGAAGCTCCCTCCTTTCAGCGCAGAGCCTGGGAGGGCGCATCTGTGTTGCCAGCGGCACTGGGTGCATATCAATGGCTCTGGCCACCCCAGCCTGCTGCTGGCTGCAGCCGCCACGGACTGTTGGTGCTTGGTTCATCTGCAGCCAAGGTCGGGAGGCTCTCTGGTGGCCACCCTGGGTGACATGGCTGCATCCTGCTCACCAGCCCTGGTCCCCCAGCCACGGCCACTCACGGGGAACATGTGGGCTTGGGACCCCTACCCCGGAGTGTCCGGGTTCCCTGCTGGTGCAGCCACCATCCCCATCACCCAGTCTTCTCTTTATCAGCCCAGCCACTGTTTACAAGGACTTTTGATGTGGAAGCTCAGGTGTGCGGCAACACCCCACTTGGCAGCCCTGTTAACAGTCTGGTGGCTTCTGGCTGTTCCTTTCATTTGGACTTCGCTTAGCCCATGTGTTTCAGCATTTACCATTTTGTTTCCCTTCAGCTACGCCTGTGCAGTGGTTGGCAGCACCGCCCTCAGTGTTCGCCAGGGGTAGCAAGCCTTCACCCCGGCCACGGGTCTCCCCGGGGACGCCGGAGTCCCCCAGGTGCATGAGGGCCTGGTAGGGTTTGTAGCTGCCCACTAGGCCAGTCCTCTCTCCTGTGGCCCCCTTGTTCCTAGTGTCTCTCCCCTGCATGCCCCAGTGGCTGCCCCTGCTCTGTGCCCTGTGGGTCTGTGCTCCCCACAGTGGCTGACCCAGCTGCCCCTGCCGCACATCATGCCCAACTTCGGCATCCTGTCGTTCTCCGCCCGGCGTGCTTGGCGGCTGAGCCCACACCCGCCTGGAACTCTCGGCTGCCCGGGCCCAGACAGCCCACTCACCGGCCATGGATGATACCACCACGATGCTGCCGTTGCTCTGCTTCAGCATGGGCAAAGCGGCCACGCTCAGGGCCACATAGCTCAGGAAGTTGACATCCATGGTCCTGCGCACCAGCTGCACATCACCTCGGAACAGCTCCAGGGAGGCTATGGTGATGTGGTTGAGCACGAGCATGTCCAGTCCCCCTGCGAGACGGCGGCGTTGAGGGGCTGGCCCTGTGCCCGGGCGCCCCAGGGACCCCCGGTGGCCAGAGGCAAGGGGGACTCAGCCTCACCCAGGACGGCGCCTGCTTGGGCCACAAGCTGCTCTGCGAAGGCCATGTCCTCCATGGTGCCGGCCACGTGGTGTGCGGAGGCCGCGCCCAGCTCCAGGCAGCGGGTCACCACCTGCGGGACACAACCCCATCAGCCACGCCAGCAGGCTGGGGCTGACTCTCGGGGACGGGCTCGGTGGGGCGTGCGTGTGTGGGCAGGGGCACGAGCACTCACCTTCTGGAGTGCTCCCTTCGACCTCGCAGTCACCACCACGTGGGCACCCATCTTCGCCAGGTGATAGGCGATTTCTTCTCCGATCCCCTTGCTGGCCCCCGTGACAATCACTCGCTTTCCTCGCAGCATCTCTGGGGAGCCCCGAGGTGAAGTGAGGGCCGGGCCTGGTGTGGCGGGCAGATCCCCGGCCCTGCTCTGGTTGGGGCAGCCTGCCCTTGAGGCCAGACTGACGGCCCCCACGAGGGACAATGCAGTCCTTCGTCACCTGCCCTGATGTGGGGATGGGTATGCTTGCTCAAGGCCAAGTCTTCCTGCTGTCCTTCCTAAAGCCCCACGGACAGAGCTCAGAGGACATGAGTCCAGCTGAAACACAGCAGTGCCAGGTGCTATGGACACATCCAGTTTTACTCAATTTAACAAAATTCAAGGAGTTCCCGAGCACAGGCGCCCACAGAGACCCCAGGCTCCCTCATGCCAGCACCATCAGCCCCAGTCCCGGCCTCTCTCCCGCTCCCCTGCCTACACATGGACCCTAGGGGACTTGAGGGCTCTGGAACAACCCTTGTCTCTCTAGGGGCTTGCTGCCTGGGAAAGCAAGGCTCTCTGGGGACCTTTGCTACATCGCTCCCCTCCCCTACATGCCATTGCCCACAGCCTGTGGCAGGAGGGTGCAGAGATAGCAGCTGGCCTCCGGGTGCCCTCTGGCTCGATCTCTTTGGGGACCTGGCCCTGAGGAGCACCCCAGCACCCCTGAGCATCTTATCTCCTCCTCCGAGCACATGATATTGGTACTCACCTGGTCTGAACTTGTCGTTGGCAGAGTAGTAGAAGTAGGCCAGGAAGATGCCCAGCAGGGGAAGGAGACTCCTTTTCAGAAAAGCCATCAGACAGAGGACCTGGCCCGGCAGCCCTGGAAGACACGCAGAGAGAGAACTACAGTGCTTTCCACAACCTCCAAGGCAGGCAGCAGCCTCTGAATTGTGACATCAGGAATGGGGGAGGTTGGAGGAGTCTCGGCAGTGCTCGCCAATTTCCCCGTCAGAGCAGCGATTGGTTTTGGGTGGGATCCCATTTGTCCCTGGCAGCCTCGTGGTGGATTTCATAATGGACAATGTTTACTCCATTTCATTGAGCAAGAAGAGACTCCCAGATGGCCAAGCTCATGACCGATCGAGACTTGATTCCTAATCATCCCAACCCAGAGCCCGGTGTCCTCGGAACCCTGTCCGTGGTGGGATGAAGGCCTCTCCAAAGCAGAGTGTCAAGGAGAGAGAGACAGCGTGTGCAGGGTTCCTGGGGAGATGTGAGTAATAGCAAAGAGAGCCCGATTCAAGCCAAATCTTACTCCTAGCCCCACCTCCCAGTCGGAAGCAATTAAAAATAACAGCACAAAACAGAAAAATAAGCCGAAGAAAAAATGTGCACATCCCAGGGGGGAAATAAAAGCAAAGTAGCTCTGTGGGCCTCCCACTTGGCCAGGAGCAAGGGGGCCTTGGATGCACCTGGGGTCCAGCCTTGGCCCCAGACGGTGGGAGTCTCCTGCAGGACCAGGCACCCGCACCGTCCTAGCAGCCAATGAAGGATGGTGGCAGGTTGGGGCGACCGCACCAGGCCTTGGGAAGGTGAAGGGGCCACGCAGGGGTAGGGGGGTGCAGAGAGCTGCACTCGCTGTGGAGCAACCGAGTCGCGGCCTGGGGGCCAGGAAAGGGGAGGAGACCCTGGTCGGGGGCCTGAAGAGAAGACCCTGGTCCTGAAGCATTGATCCTGGAAGTACTAAGAACTCTGCCGGGCTGGAGGGTGGCAACCACCCACTCTGGCAGGCCTCAAGGGTGCCTGGGGGAGCATGTGAAGCTCCCACCCCACACCACAGAGGGGAGATAGGGCAGTCCAGACCTCTGCAGGCACCCTCAGGGCCCTACAACAGGGCCATGTCCCCTCATGCTTGGGTCCCTGTGCTTCCAGCGAGAAACGGGGCGGGGACAGAGTGGGACATTTCTTAATTCTCCATTATGTGAGGAAAGATAAACAGCGGATTTCACAGTCACGTGCTGTGTACAGAAAACAGACGGAAGAAAGACGACTACAAAATGAACTTTTGGATCCTAAGACCAGTTTGTGGTCACCAGGAGAGGGTGAGCCAGTTGGGAAGGGGTTGGTGGATTGGAGAAGGGAAGGCTGGGCCTCAGGGCTGCAGGCACAGGTGCAGGGGGAGGGGTCCCCCACAGAGATGACAGCTCTCTGAGCCAGGACCCCACTGAAACAGGAAGAGCCCTGAGATTCTCTTCAGATAAGAGAACCAGGCAGGGCTGGGAGGGGAGGGAATGATTGTCAACAAAGGCCCACAGCTGTGAAGTTCACTCCAGAAAACAATGAAGAGCCTGGAGGCCGAGAGCAGCGGCAGCTGGGGACCCGGTGGGCAGCTCCACAGCTGTCAACGCCCGGATGTGGCTTTTGGCTCTGGAGTCACTCAGGCCAGACTTGCGCTCTGAGGACACAGATGCCTTCTTCCTAGGGCCGCCCTCTGAGCAGGGAGATCAGGTGGCGCTGAGAGCCTTTGCTTCAGGATGTGACAATGCTGAGGTGATGGGACACAGAGGGATGTGGTGGGCTTTGAGCATCCCAGGAAGGGCATCGCAGGCGCATGGAGGGCGCCTGGAGAGGGGGCCACGGCGCGGCCACGGGCGGAACAACTGCTCCCACCATTGTCGATTGTTGTCCGGAAAGTCAGACATTGTGCTGCCTGAAAAGACACTTTTCAGCCCAAACAGACACCTGCACGAACCCCACAAACAGATGAATCAGAGGTGACCTCATGGTTATTGTTCCCGAGCGGGCCTGTGGAGGCCGGAGTGTGTGTTGGGGTCAGGGGCGAGCACAGTACTGTGCCGCCGCGAGGGCCAGGAGGTAGCTGGCCCCCAAGGACAGAGGTAACGTGGGCAGAAGGGGCGAGTGGGCCTATCTCAGCCACGGCGGGGAGGGCAGGAACATGGACTTGGCTGAGGCACTGGGCCCCGGGGTGGCGAGAGGTGGCCGAGCGGCCTCTCTTCTGGCGGCTGGGCAGCTCTGGCTGGCCCCGGCGCTCAGCTCCAGGCTGTGCCTAGCAAGCTGTATCTCAGGGAGGGCAGATAACTTATTTTTTCTTTCTCCCCTCTAGCCTCTTAAAGTCTGAAACCAACTTAACCCTTCAGCCGAGGTTTTCCCACCAAGCAGAAGAAAGGAAGCGCTGACATGGGGTTTCTTGGAATGAGACGTCGTCCTTCCAGCTGAGAGGCAAGGCCTCTGGTGGGCCGGCATCTGGCCTTGGCTCCCTCTCCTGCTTGGTTCGAGGAGCCCTTTACAGTCTCTAAATTGAGGATCTCAGAGACATTTTTCCGTCCGTGGGTGTGCCACGTGACCTTGGCCATGATGTATTAAAAGCCAAGACAGATTCCGTTCTGCTCAAGGCACATGCAAAGCTGCATATCCCCGGTGTCTTAAAGCCTGGGGATCACCATGAGATGTGAAGAGGGCAGGCCAGTAGCGTCCAGGTGGTTGTGAAATGTCTGGACTTTCGCAAGCCCCAGGGGTCCTGGGGGTGCACTCTCCTAAGTTAGCCTGGGTGCTGTGTCCTTCACCTGCCCCGGCCCCGCCAGGTCCTACAGTTGCTACAGCAACCATCTGGCTTCCTGCCTTGCTCTGACCATGTGCAGTTCAGGGCAGGATTGGGTCTGGAGTGTGCCCTGACTGGCCCCCGGAGTGTGCCCTGGCTCTCAGCCCCACACAGAGAGGGCTCCCAGCCCACCAACAGGTTCCAGTCTTGGGCTGCAGAGCACCGGTGGGTGCCGAGGGTCTCTGCAGACCCCGAGGGGACAGGCAGTGATGGTTCTCCAGGTGGCTGGCCCCATGCGCAGGGTGGCAGGGGCCTAATGACAAGAACCTTCCAGGACAGCAGTCATCTGCAGGAGAGGGAGACTGCCAGGATCCTAGAGGAGCCCACTCTGTCCTTTCCTGGGGACAACCCCACTGATACTCAAGACGGTGAGGATCTCGGCATGTTGCCCACTGCCCCCTCCCATCAGGTTCGGGCCGGACTTTGAGGCATGCCTGTGTCTGGACACGGCCTCTGAATCCGGCCCAGCCGTGGAGATGCCTTCATTTTAGATTACTTTCCCTGCCTCTCGGCCTCGTCCCCTGCCCGCCTCCTCCTCACAGCAGCCCTTCCATCCGAACATGCCCCATGCCCTGCCCCACGCTCTACCCCATGCCTCACCTGCAGGACCCGGGCTCTGAAGAGGAGCAGGACCAAGGCCTTGTCCCCGCCCGGCACTGGGTTGGCAGGGGCCTGGTGGGCAGCCCCCTGGACAGCGCGGCGCTGGGCAAGGGCAAGGTCTGCTGAGGGAGGCTTGGGCTCGGGCTGCGGCCTGTTCCAGGCTCTTGCTGGCCTGGCTGCTCAGGAGGGACAGCAGAGCAGTGCACCTGCATTCCAGTGAGTGGGGGAAGGGTGACCCCCTCTGGGCCTTGGTCCGGCTCTAGCCAGCAAAGCAGGGTCCAGAGGGTGCGGGACTTGGGATGTCCTGACTACTGCTCAGGGACTGGGGATGTAGATTGGCAAACAGAAGCACAGGACGTAGGTGAGGTGTGAGTCCTCAGTAACCGTGGATACTGCCCCGCACACTTAGAGCAGCGCCACGGAGGGTCTGTGTGCGGCGGCCGTGACCCGTGCTGCCCCCGGGGACACAGATCTGCTGGCTGGGAAGCAGGAGCTCCTGAGCAGGGCCGAGACCCCACCACCATCCTCCCACTGGCCCCCACTGCCCTCCACTGCCCAGCAGCCCCTGCTGCCCCTGCCCTCCAGCCACAGAGGCCCCAGCAGGCCCAGGCAGGGAGAGGAGGTGGACCACGTATGTCCGAGTGGAGATTCCCTGACTAATTATTTAGGACGTGGAAGGGGCAGGTTGTAGGAACTCTCAAGACCAAGTGCTCTCCAAGCCTAGAAGGTGGCCAGTACAAAGATGTGCAGGGAGCAGCCGCTCGCTGGGTGGTGCATCTGTGGCTGAAACAGGTAGGAAATCACCAGGCCTGGCCTCAGTGGACAGGTGCCTGAGCTGGTGGGAAGCAGGGCAGGACAGCCCTGCCGGGGAAGAGGGAAAGGGGAGCCTGAGTGGGCAAGGTCATGGGCTCTAGAACATTCCACGGACAGAAGTGCATGCAGGGAGGGAGGATAGGAGCGTGAGGGAGAGTGGTGTGTTTGGGAAACTGCAAACCCTTCCACACAGCAGCTCCCCAAGGCTGGGGGCGGGGTGGGGAGAAAGCCACAGAGGGAAGCAGGACCTCCCACCACCACAAGGCCTGATCCCCCGCCCCTCCTTGCAGCCTGCCCCTGACCTTTCAGGTTCCCTTGTAGCCTTATTTGGAAAATTCAGAGGCTCCTGCTCTCCCTCCAGCAGTGCTTGCTGGCTGGGAGGGGCCTTGTCCCTGGCAGCAACGTGACAGGGACCCCGCCCTGACATGGACCTGGCTCCTGGGCACCCCTGCGCCCATTCCCCCTGCCCCCAACATCTGCCTTCCTTGTCCTGGGTCCCTGTGTTGTGGGCCTTCTCCCCCCCCCCCCCCCCTCCCCGCCTTCTTTTCCCTCTGGGTTCTTTGACCACTGCAGCCTCTGTCCTGGCCTTCCCTGAGCAAGCCGCCCCCTGCCTCCGGGGCCCTAGTGCCCCTCCCCGTGCGTATGCGGGGGCCTCCCTCCCTCAGATACCAGAAGAGTGCAAGTCTGTGATTTTAAATAAACTCACAGAGCAGGGAGGCCACCCCACAGGCCAGCCTAGAACAGCCCACCACCCCAGAAGACGCGTCTCACCCCATAGCTGCACCCATTCCCTGCCCTGGTCACCTGTGCTGTGGCCTCGAGTCTACGCCCCTGGCTCCTGGCTCTGA